CTGCTGCTACCAGGCTCGGAAAGCTGACTTGGGAGACTGGGAGGCAGGTTTGTGGCCGCCGTGGGACTGAGGCATACTCTGCTGCCTCTCAGTGCTATTGTCCCTGGGCTCGGCCCCAACTGGGTCCTCTGGAGATGCAAGTTCTCCGGCTCCACGAAAGATGCCGGACCAGGGAGAGTCCTTTCAGAGGGCGGGTCCACAGCCACTTGGCAGACCGGGATGAGCAGTGATACCTGCAGGCCATGCCCCTTACCATTGCACAAATCCCATGCATCAGGCCTCTAGTCTATATATATAAAAGCCTAAGTGACTGAACGACTGGTCAACCGGTCACTATGATGCGCACGAAGCAGATTATTATTGTAGATCACACAGGGAGAACAAAGGGTAAAATATTTAACTGCAGCAGTGTTTGACTATATTCTGTGCAGTGAGAAAACCTGAAGTCATTTTCAAGGTCCACCATTTCTTCTTTTCAGTTGGGTCAAGTTTCTAAGCTTTGTAAATCTCCATTTTCCGGCTAATGAAAAGAAAATAGAATTCCACCGTGTCTCCTATATACCTACTCCAGGACTTCTGTGAGGATCAAATGAGATGAGGCATGGGAAAACGCTTCACAGACATTTGGTTAAACTGGAAAATGTTTGCATCTGGCTATATAGCAAGTTGTGTTCCTGGGCTGAAGAAACTCCAAGGAGGCTAGTCACTACGGAGAGGAAGCTGGGCGTTGCTACATGACATCATTACCTGGGGTCCACAGCTACCGTTTCCGGGCTGGGCTGTGGGACACATTTTGTGCCATGGGGTCTTGGCAGCATGGCTGCGATTTGGTGGTGTGTCGCCCCGGGGTGGTGGCAGGGCCTGTGTCCCACTTGGGGGAAGCCAATGTTGGTTTGTCAGCGCCAGGTCCGTGGTGCCGTTTATTTTTAAATGGCCAGTGCGTGTCATGGCAGCTCCTGAGTTGAGCATCTGTCCCCTGGTGGTCAGTGCAATTCATAGCTACTGGCCAGTCATCTGGTCGCTTAGGCTTTTATATATATAGATAGTAGGGATCATATCACATATACTGTTTAGTAATCTGTTACTTCATTTCATGATGCATTGGGAAGTATTTTTCATATTATTAGTTATTAACTAACAATACAAATTGCTTATTGTTGCATGTATTTGATCCACTGAACGTGGCATATATTATTTGGCCAATCTCCTACCAACCGCCATTCCACTGATTCAGAACATTTTGGGAAGAGAGATCCTGAACGAGAGCCAAGCCAGTTCTATACATGGCACTGGATAATGCCTATTCCCTGTCACAACCCACAGCACAGATGGGAAGATTAACAAGAGTGGGCCCTTTCATTGCAACAGCTCAGAACTAATTTTGAATTAGAGACAGATCTCTAACAAGTTTTTGCAGGTAGGCAAATAGAGGGCCTACAATTGAGTTACTGGAATGAAGGTTACTCTGTACTGATTTATTACACTCTAGAAGGGATTCTGTAGACCCCTCCAAACAGGTAAGCTTCCATAAGTCAATTCTCTTCATGTGACAACTGTGGAGAAGCCTGAGGCGGGGACAAGGGCTTTTCCAACATTTATAGCAGCTGTTCTCAACTTGTGGGTCACGACCCCTTTGGCGGTCAAACGACCCTTTCACAGGGGTCGCCTATGACCATCCTGCATATCAGATATTTACATTACGATTCATAACAGTAGCAACATTATAGTTATGAAGTAGCAACGAAAATCATTTTATGGTTGGGTCACAACATGAGGAACTGTATTTAAAGGGCCAGAAGGTTGAGAACCACTGATTTACAGGCAGAGGTAGTGGTGCGTACTGACATCTCTCAAAAGATGGGACCTAAAACATTCTTTGTAGACTAGAACTAGATTTGATAAACAGTATGTTTTCATTTTATTTCTTCATCTTGTTAATCCTAAAATCTTTATCAAATGGTTGTCCAACTCCTATCAGTTGAAAAAATGCTAAGACCTATTCAATAGATTTTTGTTGATTCAATATGACTGTAAAAATATATTGGCAGATAGAAACCTATGTTAGAATTTTTCACTGAATTCAAGTTCCGGAGAATGCTCCATAGATAAGATACAATCTATATATAAAAGGCTAATATGCTAAGTGTCCCTCCCACCATCCGACTGGTTGCTATGATGCATACTGACCACCAGGGGGCAGAAGCTCAACGCAGGATGATGTATACTGGCCATTAAAAGTGAAATGGCAGTTCAGACCTGGTGCCGACAAAGCAACATTCAGCTTCCCCTAAGTGGGGCACGGGCCCTACCACAACCCCGGAGCGACAGCCCACCGAATCGCAGCCGATGCTGCCAACACCCCATGGCACAAAATTCGGCCCACAATCCAGCCTAGCCGGGAAACGGTGGCTGTGGGTCTGGGTAATGACGTCACGTAGCAACACCCAGCTTCCTCTCCTTAGCAATGACTAGTCTCCTTGGAGTTTCTTCAGCCCAGGAACATGACTTGCTTCATAGCCAGGTGGAAACATTTTACATTTTAACCAAATGTCTGTGAAGCGTTTTCCCATGCCTCATCTCATTTGATCCTCATAGAAGTCCTCTAGTAGGTAGATAGGAGACTCGGTGGAATCCTCTTTTCTTTTCATTAGCCAGAAAATGGTGATTTAGAAAGCTTAGAAACTTGACCCGACTGAAAAGAAGTAAGAAATGGTGAACCTTGAAAATGACTTCAGGTTTTCTCACTGCACAGAATGTAGTCAAACACTGCTGCAATTAAATATTTTACCCTTTGTTCTCCCTGTGTGATCTACAATAATAATCTGCTTCTTGTTGATATTTACTGCTGTGTTCCTGACAGTTACCTGAGAGAGAAGTTGGGGTGCTTCACTGGACCAGAAAAAGTTTAGCTAAATCAGAAAGCAGGTCTAATTAAGCAAGTTTATTCTATATATATAAAAGGCTAAGTTGACTTGTGCATGCACGATACATATAAAGATCTTGCTGGTGCCAATCGCACATATGTGTTTCGATCTGTCATTGCTGATCATGAATTTGGTTGACACTTCTATTACAGAGAAAGGGTGAATAGCGATATTAAAATATTTCTCCTAATTAATTTTCTTTCAATGTGCATGAATTTGTGCATCGGGCCACTAGTATAAATATAAATGTTATGAAAAGTTTATAAATCAAAGCTATAGTACATATAACCAGGTTTTTAGCAAAATAATTCTGTGCAACTGTTGTATTAACATATGTCAGTTGGAGGTTCAGACTGACAAACATTAGACATAGTATCTTAGGATGGAAAATAAAACCCAATTTACTTCTGTAAAGGTTAAAGAAGGAAGTTGATGCAGTGAGGACCACATACCAGAGAGATCAGAAATTTTATCTAATTAGAGATGGTGGTGTAAGCCTTCAGGACCCCCCAAAAAAGCCTAACAGTAGACCTGTAGTTTTAGTAGACATGACTGAGCATCATACCCTCTGAAATTTTGTCTACCCTTTTTAGACCCAGCTTTATTTAAAAGGGGCTAATTAGGCTAGGATACAGCCTTGCCTGTATATATTGAGGACATATGTTGCATCCAGACCAGATGTACCTTATTAATCTCAGAGCTATGCAGTGCATAATATGACTGGTAGAATATAGCACATGTGCTCTACAGAGGCATTAACAACTTTCTCCTTCATTATTCTTAATCTACTCAAGCTACCATGGCTTGGCTGGAGTGTTTTTCTGAATTTGGTCATGTGGAACTAGATTAAAGTTTAGCTACCTAGCCGTATCTGAGAGTCACAATAAAAGGCCCTTAGCCAGCTTTAGAGATTATCTAATCCTAGAAAAATTTCAGGGATGGAAATTTCACAAGAATCTCCTTTATGCATCACATAAGGTAAATGAACCTTAGAGCATGCTCATTCATAGCCTTGTGGTGGAACAGATTTTAATAGCTTAATTTCATTTCTAAAAAGTGTTTATATTTCAGTTAGTAGTTAACAAAACATGTAAAGGAAATTATTATTTGAGGCATAAAAATCAGAAGTGTTTAAACCTACCAGAAGACAGAAAAGGCATTATCACATGTGTTTTTCAGACCATAACTTGGTTACAGTCCTAAAGAAAGGCTGTAGGAAGCTTGTGTGCTTTAGTAGCCAAAATCCTAATAGGAGCACAGACAATAACTTCATCTTTGTTCCTCACCTCCAAAAGTAACTGGAGTTGATACTATGCTCTGAGTTCTATGATTACTGGGGCTGGGTTGTATTTATTTTTGTGTCTCTTATACTTATCATGGTAATAGGCACAATATATATTACATGTTCAATAAATGTTTGTTATTGATATTTTTATTTGTAGTCTGGACTCAACATGTTTACATTCTTTAGTAATTGTCAGAGGAAGATACAGACATATAATTGGAAAAGATAAAAACAAATAACTGTGCTATTAATTTTTTTCCTAACAACTATTTTACTTTTTCATAGTGCTGATATTTAAGGAATTCAGGCATTGCTTTTTACTATATTTTTGAAATTTCACACAAATAAACTTTTTATTCATTTTTGAAATTGCTACTATACTGCTTTAATTTTACTTCAATACTGATTAAGAGAAAGATCTTAGATATATTTTATACAGAGTTCTGAAATACGCTTAACTACTTGGAAGCTATTGAGATTCTTCTGTAATTAAGTATAGTCTAAAATAATTTTATGTATCTTTAAGTTGAGTTGATTAAATAAATGTAAGAGTAACCTTGTTAAGATTTGGAATGATAGTATAGATTTTACTTCTACTTAAAACAGTAAAGAATTTGTTCTAGGTAGTAGACACTAATACACATGTAGGTATTTCTTCATTACAGAGGAAGGTTTTATTTCATATCAGCCTTCATATTCTGCAACAAAGAAAAGATTTAGAATAATTTTTAACTTTATGGAATATTTAATGTTCAGAATTTCTGAATTTGCTATTTATCTACATTATCCAGGCAAAGGGGGCAGCTAGCTGTGGAAAGAGCTAAACAAGTAGAAGAGTACCTACAACGAAAATGGGAAGCAAGGCAGAATAAAGCTCGAGCTGAAGGACATATGGTATGATTTTTTTCTCTTGAGGTTTTTGAACATATTAGTATTCAAAGTGAAGGTCCCGAATAAGGTAGGTATAAATGAAAAGAACTATAATCTTTTACAAACATTTCCTCTAAACATTTGCAGAATGTAAAGTTGTGATGTATCTTAACTTATTTAACTCCTCTTCTGCTTTATCTTTTAAAGCTAGGGTAAAATTCTGTTGTTGGTATGATTAATTGGGAGTAAGGTCATGGCTGTATCTTTCCTTTAAAAATAGCTGAAGTAAATGTAGCAACCCAGATATTTATAGTGAATAAATTAGGTCTTATATTATTGCTCATTTTATTTCTCCATATGCTTTTGGTTTTAAATACTTAAAGTAGCAGAGAATGTAAAGAAAAAAGGGAAATAAACATTTGGATAAGTATGTGTAATTACACATTTACTCAATAGCAAATTAGAAACAAAAGTATATTAAAAGTTTTGACTTGTAGAGGTACACACTGATTATTATTTCTCTCAGCTCAGCACTCCATGAAGCATCATGCTCATATAGGAAATTGGTCAATTATATGGTAACATATTTTGATTAGACCTATCTACTGTAAGTTCATAAATGGTATCTTTATAAGTTAATGCAATTATTCCAATTTAGGATATTTTTTTGAAATATATCATAGAAAGATAGCTAAGTTTTTTAATGGTTACCCTTTTAATAAACAGTAGTTTATGTTTCTCTAATATCTGGAATTAATCTCTAGTTTTATGCTTCTTGTAGATAGTAGAAGAGATCCTCCAGCATTTTCCCTTGCTCCATACCTCCCATGTTAACAGCATCAGGAATTTTAGTTACAAGTTTTATTTTAAAATGTTTTAAAACAATTATTAGAATTATCGAGAGTTACAGATTTTTTCCCCTAGCATTGTTCCTTACATCCTCCTATTCTTCCTTCAGTTTATTTTTCTTCATGCTGGAGAATATCTTCTGGTAATCCTTCTCAAGAGAAAATTTCCCAGATTTGTTGGGAAATGTCCTTATTTTGTAATCGTTATTAAATGATAATTTGTAGTGCTGGTCTTCTGGTGAAATTGTTCAGTGTTTGTCTCAATAAATATTTTGCTGTCTTTTTTGAAAAAGATTTTTGCTGTATATAGTATAGGTTGAAAGTTTTTTTCTTTCAGTACTTCAAAGATATCACTCTACTTATTGTCTGTCATGTCTATTTCTGACCAGAAGTCTGCTATTATTCTAATTTTTTTCTCTAGATGTAATGTTGTTGTTTTTCTCTGTTTATCACTGGAAGTCTGTTTTCATTGCTCTTTATCACTGGAAGCAATTTAATTATGCTATGCTGTATCTTGATGTACTCTTCATGGTTATTTTATTGGGGCTCATTGAGCGTCTTGGATCTGGGTTTATAATTTTTATCAAATTTGGAAAAATTGCAGCCATTTCTTCAACAAAATTTTTCTGTTCTCTCTCTTTTTCTTTCTAGGATGCTCAGTACCCATATATTAGACTATGTGATGCTCTCTCAACAGCTGACTATGTTCTGTTCAATTGTTTTCACTCTTTTTTCTATGTTTCATTTTGGATAGCCTCTATTATTATATCTTATAGTGCATTAATTTTCTTCCACTTTGTGTAATCTGCTGTGAATCCCATCCAGATATTATATATTTTTTTTACCTCAGATATTAAATGTTTTATCTCCTAAAATGCATTTAGTTAATTTTAATACTTTTTATGTATCTCTTTATAATACTTATTCTTTTCTCTACCTTCTTGAACATATGAAATATAATTGTGATAGCTGTTTTAATGACCTTGTGTACTAATTCTGTTTTGTTTATTATTCCTGATCTATACCTGGTAATTTGTGATTGGATACCAGGCATTGTGTATTTTATCTTTCTTTTTAATATATTGGGTTTTTATCCTGGGATGCAGTTAAGTTACGTGGAATAGTTTGAGTCTTGCAAGGCTTGCTTCTAGCTTTTCTAGGCAAGTCCCAAACAGCCTTCAGTCTAGAACTAATTTGGCCCCTTGCCCAGGCAGTACTCTTGAGTACTTAATGCCCTGTGATTGGAGGTCTTTCCACTCTGGCTGTTGGAAGAATGAAACATTCCCAGTCCTAAGTAAACCTGAGATATTGTTGACATTATGCTGTTGTCACTCAGCAGGAAACACAGAGGAAACCCCTTACAAATCTCCAGTACTCCTTTAAGTGCAACTCTCCGTTCTTTGGTACTCCATCCTGCCAATTTTAGTGATCTTCAGCTTGTCAAGTTCTGACTGCTGTTTCCTTAACTCAGGGAAACTGCTAAGCTCTGTTTGGGGACGTGTGCTGCAGTGTAGAAGATATATAGTTATTTAACCACTGCCACAGTCATGGTATAGCACTATTCCATCAGCTCTTAAAAGTTTCTTCATCTCACCACAAGAAAAAAAAATTGTTACTGTATGAAATGATGGATATTAACTAAATTTATTGTGGTACTCATTTCTCAGTATATACATATACCCAAAATCATGATGTTGTACATCTTAAACTGATGCAATGTTATATGTCGATTATATCTTAATAAAATTGGGGGGAAGATTTTCCTGGTGTCCCTTTACAATTAGTCTACCACCAGCCATAGACAAACACTGATCTGTTTCCTGTACTATAGTTTTGTCTTTTCTGGAATTTTATATAAAACTAAAGGCCTGTTGCACGAAAAGATTCGTGCAATGCCTTCCCTTCCCCTGGCTGCCGGCACCGGTTTTCCTCCGGCACCTGGGACCCAGGCTTTTGCTCCGGCCGGAGGCGCCTTCAAGCCTCTCGCGGCTCTGGCGGCCAGAGGTGCCTTCAGTCTTCGCTCCGCCGCTTCGTGCCTACATATGCAAATTAAATGCCATCTTTGTTGGTGGTTAATTTGCATATCTCGCTGATTAGCCAATGGGAGGCATAGCGAAGGTACAGTCAATTTCAATCTTTGTCTATTATTAGATAGGACTAGTGGCCCAGTGCACGAATTCGTGCACATTAAAAGGGAATTAATTAGAGGAAATATATATTTTTTAAATGTTTTTATTGATTTCAGAGAGGAAGGGAGGAGGAAAGAGAGATAGAAACATCCCTGATGAAAGAGAATCATGGCTCGGCTGCCTCCTGCATGCCCCCTACTGGGGATCGAGCCCGCAACCTGGCATGTGCCCTTGACCGGAATCGAACCTGGGACCCTTCAGTCCACAGGCTGATGCTCTATCCACTGAGCCAAATCGGCTAGGTCTAGAGGCAATATTTTAATATTGCTCCATGCCCTTTCTCTATAATAGAAGTGTCAGAGATGAAAGAAAATTAGTAAAATGTATATGAAAATCTTCCTCCTGTCAAGAGTCTGGGGCATGCCACGGGACCCAGAGTCAAGTCCCCACCCACCTGCGCGCACCTTGAAATCACACGAGACCCAGACCCAGCCGGCCCCCACCACCATTGGGCAATATCCAGCCCCGGCCAGCCTCTCCCCCATCAAGCCCCGTCAGGTGGGGGGGTGCAGCCTCAGGGCCCCTGTCAAGCCCCGCTGGGCAGGGGGCATAACTTTAGGTCCCCCAACCTGGTGCTGGGTTCCCCGGCGCACCCTCAGGTCCCCCGGCCCAGTGCCGGGGTGGGGTTGTAGAAGAGATCCTCCAGCATTTTCCCTTGCTCCATACTTCCCATGTTAACAACATCAGGAATTTTAGTTACAAGTTTTAATTTAAAATGTTTAAAACAATTAGAATTATCATATGGGAACCCTGCCTCCACTGTGGGCACAGCCATCTTATGTTACGGGAACCCTGTCTCCACTGTGGGCGCAGCCATTTTGTGATGGCGTGATGGAGTGAGGGTCAATTTGCATATTACCTCTTTATTATATAGGATTATTGGTCATACAGTCCCTTTACAATTAGTCTACCACCAGCCATAGACAAACACTGATCTGTTTCCTGTACTATAGTTTTGTCTTTTCTGGAATTTTATATAAAACTAAAGGCCTGTTGCACGAAAAGATTCGTGCAATATAGGTTGAAAGTTTTTTTCTTTCAGTACTTCAAAGATATCACTCTACTTATTGTCTGTCATGTCTATTTCTGACCAGAAGTCTGCTATTATTCTAATTTTTTTCTCTAGATGTAATGTTGTTGTTTTTCTCTGTTTATCACTGGAAGTCTGTTTTCATTGCTCTTTATCACTGGAAGCAATTTAATTATGCTATGCTGTATCTTGATGTACTCTTCATGGTTATTTTATTGGGGCTCATTGAGCGTCTTGGATCTGGGTTTATAATTTTTATCAAATTTGGAAAAATTGCAGCAGTCATTTCTTCAACAAAATTTTTCTGTTCTCTCTCTTTTTCTTTCTAGGATGCTCAGTACCCATATATTAGACTATGTGATGCTCTCTCAACAGCTGACTATGTTCTGTTCAATTGTTTTCACTCTTTTTTCTATGTTTCATTTTGGATAGCCTCTATTATTATATCTTATAGTGCATTAATTTTCTTCTACTTTGTGTAATCTGCTGTGAATACCATCCAGATACTATATATTTTTTACCTCAGATATTAAATGTTTTATCTCCTAAAATGCATTTAGTTAATTTTAATACTTTTTATGTATCTCTTTATAATACTTACTAGAGGCCCGGTGCACAAAAATTTTTAATCTATCTATAATGATTGATTGAGGTGAGTTTTTTTGTAGTTAATCTATGTTCATTTGTGCAATTTTTTTAATCCTTTCTAATTCCTGCCTTATAAAAATTTTTTATATCTTTATTGATTTTAGAGAGGAAGTGAGAGAGAGAGAGAGAAAGAAAGAAACATCAGAGTGATATCAGCTGCCTCCTGCACGCTCTCTACTGGGGACTGAGCCCACAACCTGGGAAATTATTGCATATACTCACTGATTAGCCAATGAAAAGGGTAGCTGTCGTACGCCAATTACCATGTTTCTCTTTTATTAGTGTAGATTCTTTTCTCTACCTTCTTGA